CCGTAAAAACTTTCCTATGGGGAAAAAGTGGACTTTTCCTGCAGGACTGTGTCTGGGTAAACGGGAGCTTTCGATTGATACCCATTTTTACCCTAGCGCCCCGTTTTTGGCCGTACAAGGGCGAATTTACGGATTTTTTACGAGTTTACGGGGCTTTAAGGGCCTTAAAGGGACCCTCCCACCTTCAAAAAAGTTAATGAATTGGCATGAAAGTGATGTCGCTCGGTTCAGAAAGAGCAAAAACGAATATCTACCAAATTTCATCGAAAAATATTCACCGGTTTTCAAGATATTAGACTTTTACTTTTGTTTACTTTTTGGGATCTCCGCTGTTCCTAGCGACTTTATTTGAAAGTGCGGCATTTGTTGCGCGCAAAGCAGCATATACCACCACGTGCTACAAAACGTTTTAGTCAAACATTTAACGGACGTTCGAAAGCCTGATGACGTCATCAGATTCCCGTAATGGTTAAGAGATAGGGACCACGCTGGTCCCACCCTGCAAGTAAAGGGAAGAAATTTCTTGAACACCATAAAGCTGCGGGGGTTGCGACCAGGATAAATGGTGGTTTCTGAGCCTGGCCGCAAACTTGGCTATCTCAACTCAAAACTAATGTTAAGGTGGGAGGGTCCCTTTAAACGTCAATGCAACGGGGACCGTTTTGGGGAAAGTTTCTCGGCTGGTGGTGGGGCACCTGTGTGCCGATTTTGAACGAAATCGGGGGGGACCCCCCATTGACCCAAAATTTTGATTTTCTCGTAAAAACTTTCCTATGGGGAAAAAGTGGACTTTTTCTGCAGGACTGTATCTGGGTAAACGAGAGCTTTCGATTGATACCCATTTTTACCCTAGCGTCCCGTTTTTGGCCGTACAAGGGCGAATTTACGGATTTTTTTACGAGTTTACGGGGCTTTAAGGGCCTTAAACGTCAATGCAACGGGGACCGTTTTGGGGAAAGTTTCTCGGCTGGTGGTGGGGCACCTGTGTGCCGATTTTGAACGAAATTGGGGGGACCCCCCATTGACCCAAAATTTTGATTTTCCCGTAAAAACTTTCCTATGGGGAAAAAGTGGAATTTTTCTGCAGGACTGTATCTGGGTAAACGGAAGCTTTCGATTGATACCCATTTTTACCATAGCACCACTTTTTTGTCCGTACAAAGGCGATTTTACGGATATTTTACGAGTCTAGGGGGCTTTACGGGCCTTAAACGTCAATGCAACGGGGACCGTTTTGGGGAAAGTTTCTCGGCTGGTGGTGGGGCACCTGTGTGCCGATTTTGAACGAAATCGGGGGGGACCCCCCATTGACCCGAAATTTTGATTTTCCCGTAAAAACTTTCCTATGGGGAAAAAGTGGACTTTTCCTGCAGGACTGTGTCTGGGTAAACGAGAGCTTTCGATTGATACCCATTGTTACCCTAGCGCCCCGTTTTTGGCCGTACAAGGGCGAATTTACGGATTTTTTACGAGTTTACGGGGCTTTAAGGGCCTTAAACGTCAATGCAACGGGGACCGTTTTGGGGAAAGTTTCTCGGCTGGTGGTGGGGCACCTGTGTGCCGATTTTGAACGAAATCGGGGGGGACCCCCCATTGACCCAAAATTTTGATTTTCCCGTAAAAACTTTCCTATGGGAAAAAAGTGGAATTTTCCTGCAGGACTGTGTCTGGGTAAACGAGAGCTTTCGATTGATACCCATTTTTACCTGTTTGTGACGTCATTTCTAGGGGAAAACGGGTCATAAAGGTTTCCCTCTACCCGGGCCTTTTTTCCCCTACCGAATCTGTGCTGTGCTGAATCTGTGCTGAATCTGTGCCAACTTCCGTTACATATATAAGGAAGTTATTGCTGGCGCGGCTTGGCCTCTCATTGGTCTAGCGAATAGACCACTTGAATTCGACCAATGAGGAGCCAAGAAATAGCAGCATGGTCGCAGCCTGCTGATAAATAAACGGGGTGCGAACAGAGCTCTGGAATCCTGGGCCCTGTTCGCTCGCCGTTTTTATATCAGCGTGCTGTCGGTTTTTCCCATATAAGGAACGGTCGTCAAGTTAGATGTAAGTGAATCCTAATCTATAATCTAAGATTCGGAATCAGGTGAGCCCCTACGATTTGGACCAAACTTGGTCAGTGGATAGTACGTAACGTCCTGATTACGATGCACCCAAAATCTAAGCTCGGCCCGCCATATTTACGAAGTTACGGATGTTTGAATTTCAAGGTCATTCGGGAGAGCCCCTGCGATTTCCGTCAAAATTTGTGTACGGACACTCTAGATGCTCCTCATTACGAATATCACAAAATTTAAGCTCGGCCCGCCATATTTACGAAGTTACGGAGGTTTGAATTTCAAGGTCATTTGGGTGAGCCCCTGCGATTTCCGTCAAAATTGGTATACGGACATATTACATCCTCCTCATTACAAATATCATAAAAGTTAAGCTCGGCCCGCCATATTTTTCAAGTTACGGAGTCACAAATTTACGGAATTTCAAGGTCATTCGGAGAGCCCCTCCGATTTTCGTCAAAATTTGTATGCGGACACATTACATGCTCCTCATTACGAATATCGTAAAAGCTAAGCTCGGCCCGCACTATTTCAAAAGTTACTGACGTTTGAAACTCACTGAAATTCAAACATCTCTAACTTTTGAAATAGTGCGGGCCGAGCTTAGCTTTTACGATATTCGTAATGAGGAGCATGTACTGTGTCCGCATACAAATTTTGACGAAAATCAGAGGGGCTCTCCGAATGACCTTGAAATTCCGTAACTTTGTGACTCCGTAACTTGAAAAATATGGCGGGCCGAGCTCAACTTTTATGATATTTGTAATGAGGAGGATGTAATATGTCCGTATACCAATTCTGACGGAAATCGCAGGGGCTCACCCAAATGACCTTGAAATTCAAACCTCCGTAACTTCGTAAATATGGCGGGCCGAGCTTAAATTTTGTGATATTCGTAATAAGGAGCATCTAGAGTGTCCGTACACAAATTTTGACGGAAATCGCAGGGGCTCTCCCGAATGACCTTGAAATTCAAACATCCGTAACTTCGTAAATATGGCGGGCCAAGCTTAGATTTTGGGTGCATCGTAATCAGGAAGTTACGTACTACCCACTGACCAAGTTTGGTCCAAATCGTAGGGGCTCACCTGATTCCGAATCTTAGATTATAGATTAGGATTCACTTACATCTAACTTGACGACCGTATATAAACGTTAGTTATTGCTGAAGTTATATTGCGGAAGTTATTGCTGGCGCGGCTTGGCCTCTCATTGGTCTAACGAATACACCACTTGAATTCGACCAATGAGGAGCCAAGAAGCAGCAGCATGGTCGCAGCCTGCTGATAAATAAACGGGGTGCGAACAGAGCTCTGCCCAACGTCTGTGTGTGTGTGTTGCACTAATGAGGTGTGTTGTGTTGGTGGTGTGTGCTGTGCGGCGCGGATTTGTGGGGCTGGGTTTCTACTTTCTAGCGTTTCCAGCAAAGCTATATAAACCGTTTCCAGTGACTGAAGTTGGAATTTCCAGCGAGTGAGTGTTGTTTTCCGTTAAAATAGAATTTAATTTGTTAGCTGAGGAACTGTTTGTTTATATTCTTTATGTCAAACTGCACATAGTAGTATAAGAATTTCCTTCTTTCAGGTTTTTCTAAACATGAAAAATTATGATTTCAGTTGGGGAAACTAAGAGGAGAAAATCAAAAAAATTGATTGGGCAATAAATGGACTTTTGATGACCATATATGGGCATAAATGCAGCCCCGCTACAAAGGGTGAAAAACGGTATAACAAGCAGGTGCTTGCGGTATCGCGTCCACTTATCGGAGAGAAAAAGCTTCCATTTTCCACTAGGAATTAGTGTAATTTGATGAAATTCGGCGAATGGACTAGAAAATGGCGATAGGAAAATGGCTTTTCTGCAGGTTCTGGGCGTGTGTTTTGTTTCATGTTTTAATGTTTAGAGTGACATTACTGTGTGAATAGTGAACATTTTCTTAGAAAATCTCTTGAATGATATATTGTTTTGGAATTTTTTTCATTTGATTCAGGAGCACTTTAATCAGAAAATGTAATTTCTATATGTAATACTTTTTTAAATAAATTAAGCTCAAATGTTTGAATGGACGGATTGACAGAGCCGGAGGCGGAGCCCACGCTAAGCAGAGCTTGTTGCGTAGATTCCGACCCGACCCCTACCGTCCGATCGCGCAACCGGGTATCGGGACTGGGAGAATTTAGATGCCAAAGTTTAACATGCCCTTCAAACCCGAACACAGCCTGCCCCACTCAACTGACTTCAACTGGCTGCGGCTGCTCTCACCAACCGCAGACCATCCCCGTCAGGAGTCTCTCAAATATCGACCGCCGGAGCGTCTCTAACCCGGGCTCTCACTCCACTACGGGGAGTCCAATGCTCTACCAACTGGGCTACGGGACAAGCTACTATTTTGCTATTTGCTTTTTATTTTTCTATTTTGTAAATGCTTTTTTAATTCCCGCAAGTGTTCACTCACATGACATGACATCAGCCGGTCTGCCTGTAGTTTCTTGTGACACCACCTGGCATTTATCGAATGCATACCTGCTGTGCAAGAACATTATTTTCAAAGAAATTGATAAGCAGGAGTTACAGTGGGGCTGGTCAGGGAATAATTGACCTTTTATGTGAAAACTGCAATTGAAGTATTTGATGTATGTTTGTCATATCAAAAGTGTACATTATGTACCTGTATTTAGTATTATGTATGTATGTATGTACATTATGGGGTGAAAATTATAGCCAGCTCTTGCTCAGTGTAGGCTGGTGTGGATTGCCATTCTGGTTGGTGCAGGCTGGTGCAGATTAATTACCCTAGCTGGTGGTGCACTGTTTGTTGACTCGGTTGCCATGTTTTGCAGTCTGACCTTTGACCTCTGACCCCACCATACACTTCTGTATGTATACAGTATACTGAGGTCCCCCTCTGACTGCTGTGTTCTTTTCTGACAGGCAGGTGTAAGTAGTTGTAACCTTCATCTGAACACATCTGTCAGTCACAATGACCCAGGACCAGGTGCCAGATGAGATCAAGGTCAAAACTGCCTTCAAAGGGTGAGTGGCCGAGCTGAACCATGGAGTGCCAGTCTGCTGCTGGGTTGTGTGGCCAGCACATCTGACAGTTCAGGATCACATCTGACAGTCATTAGGTTTTAGTGATCTGCCTGACATTGCTCACTCTGACACCTAACTATGTGAATATCTGCCCTGAGTGATGCAGTAGTATACAGCTCTCTAGTCTCTATTGACCGTGTTTCGTACCATGTTGTTGAGAAGGGTATGTGCAAGATTACTTTACTTATAGGTATGTGTCTCTTTCAATTATTTTTTTAATTTTTTTTTTATAAATTTAGTCCGAACCTTTTGATGGGAAGGATTCACAAGGACAGAGCCACCGCTAAGCGAAGCTTGTTGCGATGACCCTGCCCTCTACCCTCCGATCGCGCAATTCCGATTCTATGGCAGAATTTAGAGTCCAAAGTTTAACGTGCGCACAAAGCCGCGCACGGCCGGTCCCCTCGCTGACTTCGCCTGGCTACGGCCTGCCACCAACCGCAGCCATACCTGTCAGGAGGCCCATAAATGTCGAGCGCCCGTCGCGCTTCGAACCCGGACTGTCACAACCGGGAACGCGTGCTCTCACCACGCGGAGTCCAACGCTCTAACCAACTGAGCTACGGGACCGACATTATTATGTCCATGAATCTGAAAACTAACTCATTTTTGCGCATGGATCTTCTATTACATACATGCCTGTCTTCTGCTTCGTATTTTGAACGTTTGTTGGTGAATGAAATTAAGAACAGTGAACCATTGCTCTCTTGGTATCAAACATCTTGAATTAGGACCAAGCTCTATTCTTTTCTCTTGTTTTCACACTATAGTCGGCTCTCGTCAAGGCAGCCGACACTCACCACCGACATCCGTCGTTACATTCCTCCAGCTGACTATCTTTCCCGTCTTCTACAGCGAGTTCTACATCACCTACATCAGTCCCGACATGAAGTTCGAGGCGCTGGTGGGCGAGATTAAGGACACGTGCCGGTTCCCGCCCGACGCACGGTTCACCGTCAAATGGGTCGACGAGGAAGGTGAGAGAAGCGAGGGAGGTGAGAGAAGCGAGGGAGGTGAGAGAAGCGAGGGAGATGAGAGAAGCGAGGGAGGTGGGAGAAGCGAGGGAGGTAAGAGAAGCGAGGGAGGTGAGAGACACGCTCCAGGAGGATAGAGGGAGACCTGAGGGCTGGAGATAGTGTGTCTCTTTCAGTGGGAGATGTGGGTTTTCCGTCTCAGCAGCAGGGAAGAAGAATCGCTTCGGAGACGAAAGTGGTGAAGGGTGGGTTTGTGGAAGGGAGGGTTGTGTGTGTTGTTTGAGCTTTAGGGTGGGCGATACAGCTAAGGTAGGCTATCAAGCGCCCTGAAGGGAAGGTTTGCCTGAGGAAGGTTAAAGAGTTGCTCCGGGGATAAGGATGCTGGTTATCCGCTTAAGTAAAGGTAGCTCACGGCACTCAGCCCGTGAAGACGTTGCGACTATCGGACGAACGACCGATAACCAGCGACATCTATAGGCATCAGATTACCTTATCATCGCTTTTGGGCTGACTCACCACTAGAACGGCGAAACAGCTTGTTTTTGCATAAAGGTACATGTGCGCGGGAAGGGTCGAATGAGTCACCTTTTCAAGGTACACTAAACTTCCCTGACCTTTTACATATTGGCACCGCTTCGAACGTCTACTTCCGTGGTTAGTTGCATGTCGTAGCCTGTAAGGATTCTTTTGACATCAGTGCCACACCACTCCTCTGACCTGACGACGCTACCATGCTAACGCCACGTCCCGTTGGCCGCCTCCGCAGGGGACCCGTGCACACTGTCGACCCAGGAGGAGCTCCAGGAGGCCATCCGACTGTATGAGGTCAACAAGGACTCGGAGATCACCATTCACGGTGAGTGCCGCTCGGCGGCTGACCGTCTGAGACTGGTGGCATGGCTGGTGGAGAGATGCTCGGCCCAGGGCGGGGCGACCAGACCGGTCCCGATCCCACCGCTGCCGGCCGCAGTAGGTGCACGGACAGCTGGGACACTGCCCGTTTTTTCCAACAGGAATCTTGTTTGGTTGTTGAATTACTCCACCGAGGAAAGATATTTCTGGAACTGCATGCGTGCCTCCGGATTGACGTACTAGTAACAGTCGTACAGCTCTGACGTGGCTTGTTATTTGAATTCTTGTATATGATAGTTAGTCCAGATATACTTGGAGAGGGAGACACTGGACAGCCGGCATTGCCTGAATCTAAGCTGCAGGGAGCAGCTTTTACCAGAAAGCAAACTTCACTTCTATGTCATATATTATACTAGCAGCGGTCGTTGAATTGAAACGGCCGCGCCATTGTCCTTCGCTCCCGAATTCAGGAGGTTCATTTGTTTGTGAAATAAAGCCGCCGGTTTAGCGACTGCGCGACTCGCTTATTAGCCCACCACGTGACATTGTGAGGCCATTATGACCGGCATTGACTTGCTCCGAGCCTTTAGAATGGCGCGGCACAATTCTGCCGTAGTTAAATTTGAGTGTTGCGCTATTCGGCTATTTAATAGCGCTCGCTCAGAAAAGGCAGTCAGACGGCGGGCCGGCGCTGGGCGAAATTGCGGCAGCCGTCTGCTGGAGGGCTATTTCCGCCGCGGGCCGGCCACAGGTCGGGTGTCGCGCGCTGGGGGGGGGGGGGGGTGCTGGTGTGGTCACAAACACCTCGGCACTGGGCTGTGAGCGACTCCGCCGGTGCCACTCGCTGTGAACGCCCATCAGCCATCCGGGATTGTCAGGGCAGAATACTCTCTCCCGAAGTGGACTGTAAACATGTTTGAATGCGACAAGCTCTGAAATGTGTGCGGATGTTCCGCTTGTAGTCAATGTAGCAGGGTTGCAGCGTTGCAGGGCTCTACGCTAATCAGAGCTCAACGCGCTGTGTTTTGCAGTAATGATGATTTTATGATGATCTTTATGATGCTTAGCTTCATGCATACGCCTACAGCCCGCATCCCCAGTTGCAAACGACCAATCGCGCCGCAGGTGTAGTTGTTGGGTCCGTATAAGTTTCCTACCAGGTAACCATAGCGCGGCCTGGCACCGACCGCCACCACAATCAAACCCCACCGTCATATCCCGTTTCAAACTTCATCACGAAGCCCTCTTCTTGCGGCCGGCCGGCTGAAAATAGCGTCACTTTATTCACATTTAAGTCGTCGGGAGCCGTAAAGTTAATTGGCTGCTGTGATTTACTCGGCATAGTTAGCCGAGGGCGGCCCAAGTGTCCCTGGAATGGGCGCGATGCGTGCAGGCTCGGCGGAGACGCGACGCGGCGGCTCATTAGAGGCGACAGAGGCACAACGAGGAGTAGGAGTGACACTGATCGTCTACTTGTCCTGCCGAGTTACTGCAGTCTAATATTTCGACCGGTCCCGGCGGCAATGCATCTGTTCGGTTTGGACTTGTGGTGGCTGTTCACTCTTAAAGGGACTGTCCCACCTTAACATTAGAATTGAGTTGAGATAGCCATCTTGATGGGCGTTCTTTGAAAATCAGAGTCGTGAAAACCGTTTCTCCAGCAATTACTTCATCGCAAATAAATTCGTGTTTGATTTTGACATCTGTGCAAATAAGTGCCACAATGTATTGGTATTGGCACTTAAAACCTGTGACGTTTCCGCCTTTTCCGAAGTTTCTGTATCTGTCGACTTGTTTTTTATTGAAACCTTGAAAAATAACAACGCCTCTTGGAACAGCGCCCGGTGCCACGAGGTGGAGAATTAAATTGATATGCCAAACTAATTCTAATAGTCTTCTAATTCTAGCAGTATTTTTATTTTTGTATTTAAATATTTAAGAGGCCGTCCTACATGTGACTGAAGAATGCAAGAGCCATGAACTTATCAATGGCAGGTGTCAAGTGTGCAACTCACTGAAATTAATCATAGTATCAAAATCATAAATGATTTGCTCACTGCTGTTTCAACTCCATAATCAAGACATGCTCTGAGGAGTCCACAATCTATTGATGGTGACAAATAAGGAAGAGACAATGAATGTTCACCTTTTTATTTCTGAACATCCAAGACGACTAACCTTGAGCCGTTAAACATTGATAATACCCTGTTTGCTGAAGTGTGGGTGGCCTGAGGTCGACCATGTCTAGTAAAGAACTGTTGTTTGTGTAAACACCACGCAGAGGTATTTTGAAATAAATTTTAGTGATGTAATGCATCATTCTTTGAACTGAGTTGCTGATGGCGGATGAAAGCGGAAGTGCTGCACGTTGAATCAGAAATGCTCTGTTGCGCTTTTAAGCTTATGTTAGATTTTATAGATGGCTTAGTTTTCCTGCAGATTTCATCTTAAAGCTGTCAATAGTGTTTTACCTTTGTTTCCTGGGAGCAGATCCAGCTGCTAACATGAGCATGGGACCAGGACTGGGCCTTTGTACCACAGTCGCTGCGCTGCTTGTCAAAACCTAGGTAATGTGCTTTGTTAGGCCATGCTTTGCATTTTTTAAACCTTTAGAGTACTTTGTGATCATTGACACACATATTGAACCTGACAAACAGCAGCAAAATCACACCCCATCCTTACCTCTGTGCAGTGTCACCCAACAAACAACAGGGCTTCAAAACAGGCAGGTTCCGCATTCAAGTCGCTTCTTGCAACTATGTGACTAATGTTAGGACAATAGACGTGCTGCACAGGGAAGGTGTGTTCTTTGTAGCTCTTGAAAAATGAAGTCATGCCTAAAATTCAGTTTAGAATATTACAATTACAAATAACTTGGATAAAAGTTGCAAAACATGAACTCTGACTGGTCAGTTGAAATATCTTGAGTCAGTGAACCACGCCTGGGCTGGAGGTGGTCAGTTCCCTGACTTGCGCAACCTCGGGCACCTCGGGCAGGAGCTGTGGGACTTGTACATGGATAAATTGAATAGACGCTAGCCTAGATTATGTCGTGGCTGCAGTCCAAGACGTGTTCACCAGTTGCCGTTGCTGCCGCTGCCTGCTGCTGCCCTGCGTGCCGGCTGGCAGCTCACTGCTGGACTGTTTGCGCGCCAGGCATCCTACTGGATGAGTGGGGTAGGTCGCAGATCTTTGAGAGTGAAATGTTTGGTCTAAATATAGCTTGAAACTCTTACAAATAATTTAATTAAAAGGCAAAATTTCAGAGGACTCCATTGGTGTCTCAGTGGTGACAATCAGAACTTGATCAGAACTGTTATCATGCTGAATGCTGAAACTGAGGATAGGGCTGAGCTGGTAGGCTAGAATTTAATATGCAGGCTTACAAGGTCCCCAGTTAATCCACAAATTTGTCAGACTTGCCTGTAGATAAATTCATGCAGATGAAATGTTTCTGGCAGATAGCCCTGAGGCAAAATGCTATTCAAGCTTGTTCCGCAGCTCGTTGCGTTCCACATGAGCCACTACATCAGAGTCACACAACTCTGCCAAATGTGTTGAAAGGCCACGATTTTTCCAATAAGTAGGTATATTTATTATTTTTCACAGACACAACAAAAATACAAATGCAGGTCACTACAATTCATTCTGCTTCAATTACAATTGCTGGAATGTGTTTTGCAGACTTATTATATTGAATCTTGAACAGACTATATTATATTACTTTGCTCATGGGCCCAGGCCAGTACTGCAGAGTATGGCTCGCAGGTCGCCAAGGAGCACTGGCCTAAGTTCAAAATTTACACAAACCCTGCAAACTGAGCCAGAAAATTCACACCAAAGGGGGCTGAGAGAACACTTCGCACCCCGCTACACTAAATCTGCACCACACCAAACCAAATCCACACCGCACCACACTTAAATCCGCACCAGACGAAGGAGTCTGCACTGACAACATCTGGACAAAATTGACATACTTTGCAGTCTGGCTCATGGCTATATCCATTGTGATTCTTAGGTCTGATTATTGAAGTTGAGCTCACTTCCATCATCCATGTGCCCAAGACATTGTGGGCAGCATCAATAATCAAACATCAATATCTTGCTTTTGCTTATTAGGGAGCATTCTATAATCTTTTAAAAATGATAAATAAGGCCTTGTTGATATTCTTTGCAGTTTGCGACCTTCTTCTTGACAAAGTTCAAGCTTCAATTTTCCAATTTTCATTTCAATCCTTTCCATGAACATTGAACATGTTTGTGTTACTTTGCATCTTACTAAAATACCAATTTCCTGAGTTTTGCTTTCATGCGCAATGTTTGTACTATTCGCGGCAGAAGCGTAACAAAACTTTGTGCCACCGATTTGGCAGCTAGGAAAAAACTTTGCCCGATAAAAAAACAATCATATGACGTAATCGATCCAAAAGCTTTAAATTGGAATTTCTAAACAATTAGCCAACTATGGGCCGAATGTTTGCCAATTTCGTGTACAGGGGCCCCTAATCTATGTCTTGCAACACAAGAACAATATATCAAAGCAATTTTTTGAAGGTGGGACAGTCCCTTTAAGCGCACCAGTTTTGTGCAGTTATCTTTAAAATAGATCGGTGCTTGGTACTTCATAATTTATTTAGCAACTGGGCCAAGATGAATCATGAATATTGCATTGTGGAACACTGGTGGCGAGGGTATGATCGCTTCATCGAAAACCAGTACCGGACCCAGCTTTGAGCACAGCTTGCCCGTTTCTAACTCGGCTGGTCGCGCCGTATCGTATCACAGACCTCGGTTACGCCTCCTGTCGGCCGGGGGTGGGGTGGGAGGAGGGGGGCGGTACGTGACCGTCACCGTTTGCCCTGCGGCGACAGGCGAGGTGTCGACACTGCCACCCGCGCCGGACGCTGCGGGGTGCGAGCACACGCACACAGCGCGAGTGCGTGAGTGGGTGGGTGAGTGATGGAGTAGTGGGTGATTGGTGAGACGTGGTGATGGAGCCAGTGA